CCAGTTGTAAGTGACGGTGATCAGCTCAGATCTGAGATGTCATTGCATTCGGCTGACTTCTCGTTATTCCCCCTTATCTGTCCCCAGCTCTGGTGTTAGGTTACCAGTGCTCCTCCAGTGAACTCAGGGATCTCTAAAGTTAGGGTACAGCCCACTTTGTATATGATTAGTTGCATGCCCCGAGACTATATAAGTGGATGTTAGAGTCCATTTTCTATCTCTCCTGGGCCACGATCCTGATGCCACGGAGGAGGTGACCACCCCAAAACTTTTGTCTGCCTCTTAATTTCTTCCCATCAATTATACAACAGCCTCTTAGGATCCATCCGGGTGTGGGCTGGATCCCACAGAGGGCAAAGGGCCCTGCACACTCTGTAGGGAAGCAATGTGCCGTTGAGGTTACTCGAGGCTAGTTGAATATTACACACTCACAAACTACACTGTGGCCAGGACCAGAACGTTCCAATAGTCTGTGAATGAGAAAACAATGTGCAGTCAAGGCCATGGAGGCAACAATGCTTTCTTAAAGGACATTCCGGGTTACAGAGACGGGAAAGTGGCCAATACGTTCTGGGAATGAGAAACGGAACTTCATCTCTCCCATGCAATGGCATGAAGTCCAAGGAATTGTTCAGGTTTTCAAAGTAATCTTGTGTTCTCCTTATGGGATGTTTCCAAATCTGCCCTCTGAATGGGAAAACAGAGTGAGGATTCTCACATCCCACCCCGGGAGGCCCAAGGAGTCCTAGCCCTGATCAAGTCCACAGTGTGTTAGGGGCGTGGGAACGTTGCACAAAGCATCGTCAACGACATCATCTCTTCGCCCGAGATGTTATTTCAATCGAAACTGAGGACCATCACCCAAGCCTCTTGCTGTCTGCGCGTCCGCACTGCCGAGCAAGTAAAAGAAGTTGTAAGTCATTAAAGAAGTAGTCGATAGGGCAGTGCCTCTGCGAGGTCTCTCCAGAGGAAGCCTAGTGGTGGTCATGGTCACGTCATGGTCACCCAGCTTTCAGTGGTTGTGACCCCTGACGACCTTCTACCTGGTTTTGTTCCGATCACTACTTTGGGGGCTTTGCCTTCGAATTTAATATCCAAGTTTGACAGGTAGGAAGATTAGGGATCGAGGAGGTTGTGTGCACCAATGCCTACGCTCAACGACAATTAGCTGGCCGAGCCACAACCAAGGGGATGGGAAGAAATCAGGCACACATTGGACACCTAGGGGGGCAATCCAGAACTGGGCATGTGCAGATGAAGGTCACTTAGGGGAGGCAGAGGTCAGCCTGGACACCAGGCACCTCACAGGTGACTTGACCACTAAGAATGGCCAATACCGTCAACCATGCCCCCTCAAGTAGGGTAGGAGGGGACAAAAGTCGGGGACCATGGGCAGTCGCTCTCCTGTTCCACACCTCGTTCCAGGGCTCTTTGCTTGTTTCCTTGTTGTGGCTTTTTACGCTCCCCTGAAGAGGCCATCCTGCGCCGCGTGCACGATCCGAGACTCATACCCTCGCCCTCACACAAGTTAACTTGGATGACAACAGTGCTTCTGCCACGTGAATGCTTTCAGCGTTGGGAAGCAAGAACCAAGGTAAACCACCCCAGAAGCCTCACAAGTTCATTTCTCAGTCGTTACAAGGTCCTGGTCTATGTCCTTAGTATTTCCTCCAGACCAAAAAAGCAACAAGTCAGTAAGACTGCCAAACGGTTCTGTCGATGTGCCCCTAAGCTTCCCTCCCGTCCAAGCAGGAGGTGGCCAGGAGAATCAGACCCCTCACCCACGGCCATTAAGGGATCATCACAGCTCAAGGGAGGATCTGACGCCTGCCCAGACTAGGCTAACCTCACTTCCCCGAACATAAACAAGCTGACTCACTTCATTCAAGTTGGTTTGCCGAAGATTTGGGACTGGCTCAAAGGGAGCCATGCGGCTAGACCTGACCTTGTCCTAAACTTGACCTTAGGACGGTCCCATGAAAACTCCCCTTCCTCATCAGGCTAGCGACGTTATTTTCTGACCATGGGACACATGGCCACTGTGCAAACACCCTGGTCTGCCCCCCAAATGAAAAACTGGAGATTTCCCAAGAGATTTGGAGAGTATTTAGAACTTTCCTTTTACCGGGCGGCCTGGTGGCTGTCAAACAGGTGTGGAGGTGCGAATCAATAGGTCCGCAGTTCGAACACACCAGCCACTCAGTGGGAGAAAGATGAGGCTGTTTTCTCCCGTAAAGATGAACAGCTTACAAGCCCTCCGGAACCTCTACTCTGTGCTAGACGGGGTTGCCGCGAGTCAGAATCTACATAATGGGAGTGGGGTTTTCTTTTTTCTTTTCTTTTTTTGGTTTCAGATGTTTATTATTTGGTGTAAACCCCAACAGGGCACCCCAACATGATTTCGTGCATTTAGGGGATAACGATATCCTGGTTACATGGAGAATTGTGCGGATAACTTCTGGAAGACCTGCCTGCTAAGCAGCTGTATGGGAAAACATTTCATTCAGAAGTCAGGGTCTCCTTTGGTCAGTTTGCTGTAATCCGTATTCACAGCGAAGAACTTGTTCACTGGGACCAAGCGTATTCCCTGGTTCTGGGTGGTTCTTTCTGTCCCAAATGACATCTGGATTAAACAGTGCCAGTCGCATGACCTACAGGGCAGCCCTAGTCCCTCCAGCTCCAATCAGCAAGAGGGATATCAAACCCCGCTGCTTCCTGGCCTGACCGAGGATCCGGGGCGGCATGTTTGCGGCTTTGGTCTTGGGTCTGGAAAGAGAAAACAAATTTGGCAGGACACTGAACGATGTTTTGGCAGATGCCCCGGGAGTGGGTTTTTCTTTCACCCTGTCTGTAAAAGTGTTTAAAACTGCTCTCTATTCTGGGAGCCGGGTCTGTGCTCACGGCTTTGCAATACAGCGCATCTCTATTTCTTTAAAAGACCAGGGTCCCGAGATCGGGTTTCAGTGCACACAAGCAGGGACCCTCTTGGGTTCGATTGCCATAACCGAAAAGGGTGCTAGCTTTCTTTTTTTTTTTTTTAATCATTTTATTAGGGGCTCATACAACTCTTATCACAATCCATACATACATCAATTGTGTAAAGCGCATTTGTACATTCATTGCCCTCATCATTCTCAAAACATTTCCTCTCCACTTAAGCCCCCGGCATTAGGTCCTCATTTTTCACCTCCTTCCCGTTCCCCCCTCCCTCATGAGCCCTTGATAATTTATAAATTGTTATTTTGTCATATCTTGCCCTGTCCGACATCTCCCTTCACCTACTTTTCGGTTGTCCGTCCCCCAGGGAGGAGGTCACATATAGTTCCTTGTAATCGGTTCCGTCTTTCCTACCCATTCTCCCTCTACCCTCCCAGTATGGCCACTCACACCACTGGTCCTGTAGGGATCATCTGCTCTGGATTCCCTGTATTTCCAGTTCCTGTCTGTACCAGTGTACATCCTCTGGTCTGGTGCTAGCTTTCTAAACACAAACAACCCACTTCTTTCCCAAGTTAAAATTGATACTCTACAAAAGTTAGCCTTTTTTCTACATTTGCTTATGCGTGTCTAGATGAAAACTCTAAATATACATAAGAGAGCTTCCAAAACTTCGTCAAAACAAGACAAAATTTTACTCCATTATTCCCCCACCCCACACACACACACACGTTTTTTTTGAAGCTCCCTCCTATGTATCTCCTAGACCACGGGTGTCAAACTCAATTAAACCCCGGGCCATTTGGTGCAACAGTCAAGATTCACACGGGCCACATCACATTTACAAATTTTGTTAAATTTATATTTTGAAGTGAGGATTCAGGAATATGGATAGGATAATTAAAACACTATATAGCTGATTTTAAACATTTATTTTATTTAATGTATTTATAAAACTAAAATTATTCTTTTTACCCAAAACTTTCCAGCATTTTCCTCCTACTAGTTTTCACTTACCTCTTATGTTGTGACCGGAAAATATTACAAAGTAACTAATAAAAAACACAAAATGTTGGACAGCTGACAAACGTGATACACAATCGTAATGCCTTCCCTCTAAAAATGTTAACTAGCGCTGCCGCTAGGTATGATTCATAACAGCACAACCCAGAGTGCTCTTTTTAACCTTTTCGCTGTTGGGATCTGTTTACATTACGTGACACTGAGAGTGGCAGACACATCGCGTCCGAACGTCGCAGGAACTGAGTCAGCGCGTTTATACACGTCCACAGGCCCCCAGGAAAGGCACTGGGCCACCTGTATACTCGTCTTCAGTAGTTAAAGGGTTAATGAGGGAATTGTGTGTATGGCATTGCCTCGATCTCCCCTAAGCGCTATTTTCTAAATAACCATTTTTTTCTATTCTTTTATTTCAGAGCATCGCAGGCCACAAAAAATTACCTGGGGGCCGCGTGACACCCCTCCCCTAGGCTATGCACTAATCAGTACTGGGGCGTCCAGCTGTTTGTAGCAAAGGGCACCCTGAGAAGGTGGGAAGACAGGGTTCAGCAGGTCCAACATGGAGCGCAAGTATCTTTTTTTTTAAATCATTGTCTTGGGGGCTCGGCCAACTCTTATCCCACAATCCATGCAAGCATCCAGTGTGTCAAGCCCATTAATTAGTACGTTTGCTGCCATCCTCGTTCTGCAAACACTTGCTCTCTACTGCAGCCTTGGGTCTCAGCTCCTCCTGCTAAAACACCTTTCCGGAGAGGAATGCGCCAGCAGCCCCCCAAACGGGTGAGCGTTGAAGTTTGCTGGAAGGTTTTCTAGGGACGGAGGGAAGGGAACGCGAGCCGCGAGGGACCAGGCAGCCACCCCCCCCGGGGGCGGGGCTACGTCCTGCGCGTGCGCGGCCGGAAGTCGGCGCGCGGGGCGGGGCTGTGCGTGCGCGGCCGGAAGTCGGCGCGCGGGGCGGGGCTGTGCGTGCGCGGCCGGAAGTCGGCGCGCGGGGCGGGACGTGCGGCACCTGTGGCGGCGGCGGGCCGGGCTGGGGCAGGAGGATGCGGCGCTCCGCGTGGCCGTGGCCGTGGCTCGGGCTGGGGCTCGGCTGGGGCGTCCTCCTGGCTGGGCCGGCGGAGGCGCAGGGCGTGGTGCAGCCGCCGGAGCGGAGCCGGCCGTACGCCGTGCTGCGCGGGCAGAACCTGGGTGAGTGAGGGGGTCCGCGCCGGGGACATGGGGGGCGGGCAGGGGAGGGGAGGCTGTGCGGGCGAGGGGTGCAGGGGGCGCCGCTGCGGGAGCCCCACGACCCTTCTCGCAGCCTTGCTTGCATGGAAGTATTGGGAGTCGAGAGACGGGGGCTCCCTCCTCGCTGGCTGTGTGGACCAGGCTATGGATAATGCGGACCTAGAGCCCCACCCCCGAGCCCCTGGTAATAGGAATAGTAACCGGAACCAAATCCACCGCCATCGGGTCGATTCTGTTTCATCGCTCACTCACCCGCCGTCTGAAACGGGCACTGCTTATGGGAGTAGAGAGCCTTGTCTTTCTCTCGCACAGCGGCTGGTGGTTGCAAACTGTTGACCTTGAGGTTCGCAGCCCATATATAATCACCCCTGCAAACCCACTGCCATCGAGTAACATTTGACTCATAGCTGCCCTATAGCACAAGATAGAACTGTTACTTAGGGTTTTCAAGGCCAAAGTCTTTATGGGAGTAGACAACTGCCCTATCTTTCTCCCTCAGACGGGCTGCTGGGTTCAAACTGCCCACCTTCCAGTTAGCACACCAATGAATAACCCACTATGGCACCAGAGCCAGGAATCAAAGTATTGCCCACTGAGGGCCAAATGGCCTCTGCCTGAGAATAGCTGCTGTCCAGCAGTACCGTCGAAAGGGAGCTGGCTGCAAGCTACTTGTTATTGCTTTAGAAATCAAACTTCACAGCCGTTGCCTTGTTGCCCCATCCAGGCAAGTAGGCCCCCCCTTCGTGGTGTGGTGGGACCAGAATGCTTTTCAGGTGGAGAGAGCAGCTTCTTAGTTGTGTAACAACAAACTCCTTTTCCACACGGCTCTCGACAATCCTGTGTAGTGGATAGTTTTCTTATCCCGTTTTTTTACAGAAGAGGAGAGACAGAGAAGTTGAGAGTCTTACAGAAGGTCTCAAGCTTGTAAATGTTGCAAGGTCAACTGATCTGACCCCAGATCCTGGATTCCTGACCCCTGTGAGGCCCATCTCGCTGTCCAGAGCATCCTAACAGCTCTTGTATTTCAGGGCCTGTTTTATGCCCGGCATCGAGAAGCACATTTCACCGGATAACATATACAGGCCTCAAGACACTCTCGTGGGGTGGGTTTCATTTGCCTCATTTTCTAGACACAGAAAAACAAGACCCCACAATGGGAAGCGACCACAAGGGTCTTTTTAAGGGCAGGCCATTCGTACAATGAATGCTGCATGCAGAGTTCTGGGAGAAGTGGAGAGATGAAGAGTGGGAGAATCGATTGAACCCCCACATGAATGCTCACCTAGAAGGGTATTGTGTACCTGTCAACTCAGAGTGCTTAGCTTTTAATCCAGTTTTTCTTTTAGCGGCTTTTTATGCCCTAACTTTAATCTGCATTCTTACCTTACAAGTTCTTAATTAAAAACACTTCACACCCCCCACCCTGGAAATCTTCCAAAATGCAAGAAAAGGAAGGAGACCTCTGCTTACTCACTCTGGACACATTTTGGACACACCCCTCCCCCGTCCCACAAGATAGCCTTTCCCTGTGGTCAAGCTTAAAATATTCTGGGCTAAGTGTGGGAAGTGGGCCAGGAAGTCACAAAATCGCAGAAACTCCAGACATGCTGATTTGAACAAAACCGTGCCCAGAATCTTGATCCCCCCCCCCTTCGCCGAGGAACAATAATTATTTTGAAGAACAAGCAGAGCTAAGCTCCAGCTGTAACACATGCCATTATGCATTCGCTTGTTCAAGGTAACTCCACATCCCCCTGAGACAGTCACACAAACAGGATGGGATACCATGGCTCCGGGGATGGGAAGATTCCGGGGCCAGGCTGCCGGTCATGTCAGCAGGGGAGAGCCTGGGTCCCCAGGGTTCTGCCCAACTTGGACTTGACTTGAGGTGGTAGTGGGGGTCAGTGTCAGCTGTAGGGTCTCTCTCTTAGAATTTTTTTTTTTAATGGTCATAGATTGGGAAGGGTACCTGCTTCTTTGATGAGAAGGCCCTTGTCAGGACACGCCTCCTACAGCCATAAGCTTACAGGACTGCAGAACCGCCCCTTTGGGTTTCCGAAACTTAATTTAATTTAATTTTTTAATGCTATAGAGCTTGCTGGTTTTATTGCGATTCTAGCTTTTTAAAAACAGCTTTATTGGCTTTTAGCCCACATAGCACAATTCAAGAGCGGACCCTCTAAGTCTGTGAGCCCCTTGCCAGGTGGGCCCGCGGGAAGCAGTGACCCGTTTTCCTCTTGCAGTGTTGATGGGCACCATTTTCAGCATCCTGCTGGTCATCATGCTCCTCGTGGCATTTTGTGTCTACAAGCCCATTCGGCGACGGTGACCGGGCACGGCCCCGGGTGCTCTTCTGAAGACGTGGAAACAGGACGACGGTCCCACGCTGGCCAGTGGACGAGCAGAACTCAGAACATCCCAACTCAGAAACGACTGATGGTCTGGACGGTTGGTAAACTCATGGTTCAGAAAAAACAAAAACAAAAAATGTACTAGCAATGATTCTTTTTCCCCCTCACACTGTAGTGCTAGTAACTGCCCGGTCTGCTCATCCATGCTTGACTTTTTTTATGTATCTGGTTCTACTTGTTAAGAATAAGGCCCGAGTGCCCAGGTAGAGTGCCCTCAAGAAAGCAAACTGGTGCATCTGTGAGAGACGCACCGGGAAGGACTGATGACCAACGTGTGCCAAAGGAGATGGAACCAATGAGGGCGCCCTGCTTAGGCACCATTGTGTCCCAGTGGGGTAAGAGCTCATTGAGTCCCAACGGGGCATGAACCACAGATGTTCTACCCCTACTCAGCGGACCTGAAGGTGCTGGCTGCAGAGCCGGCTCGATGGTGTCCGGGAGTCCCGGGCCACCGTTCCGTGGGCATTCAACTGGAAATGTGGCCAGCTAACTAACCCCACTGCGAAAGACCTCCACCCTGGCTCAAACCCTGGTCTCCTTTGTTCTAAACACGTTTGTCCAGCTCACGGCCTAGGGACGGTGAAGGTTTGGGGGTCTTGAAGAGACTCGGCGGGAGTTCCTGTGAGCCGAAGAGGCAGGGCTCTCCCAGGGCAGTGTGAGGTCGAGAGTTCGAGGCAGGGTGGCAGGCGGGCTTGTGCGGAACATGTCTCATCTCAGCTTTGAACGTGCTGCTGTTATTTTACACTGTCGGTGAATGGGGCCCCCACCCCACCCCTGTTGAAATACTTGTGTGCTTACAAAGAGCTTATGGGTATTTAATTTGAAGGTGCTAGGTTGGTTGGTTATTAAATGGAAATAAATTTATATCTTGCAGTCCATGCAAGCCCCAAACCCAGTGCTGAGTCGCTTCTGACTCCGAGCGACCCTATTGGAGGGCCTTCAAGGCTGTTGTTCTCTGGGAGCTGGGAGGGACTGGCAGCTGGCGTCCAAACAGCTGGCCTGTGAGGTCGAAGTTGAACGTTGTTACCACTGGGCCATCAGGACATTCCAGCACCGCACCGATTTTTTTTTTTTAAACCTGCTCTTAATGTGAAATGACTGATGTGCGGGACTTTGTTTATACTTTTGTTCCCATGGAGCCATTGCAATGCTCGCTTTTCTGTCCTTTCCGAGCCAATGTCAACTAAAACGAAAATAAAGCCCTTCCTGCCTATTGCACTCTGGGTAATTATTCCCCCCACCCGTGGCTCAGTGTGCCAACCTGTAATGACACGCACGTTGCTGTGACAGTGAATGGTATGCCCCCGGGATTTCAGATACGGGCAGGACCGCCATTGTGAGCAGGGGTCAGTGGAGCTTCCAGACTAAGGCTAGGAAGAGAGGCCTGCCAATCTCCTTTGGAAAATTAACCCTGGAAAACCCTGTGGGTCCCAGCAGGCCACTGCCCAACCCACTTGTTTTGGATACATTATCGGGCAAGGCCCACTGCTGGGAGGGGACGGATGTGGTGTCCACTGAGGTAGGAGGGCAGTGAGGATAGAGACCCCAGTGGGACGGGTGGGCCCAGCAGCTGGGGGTGTTGAGGAAAGTGTAGGACAGGGCAGCCAGCGTTCTGTTCTCCTTGTGTACAGGCGGCGGCCAGGAGTTGTGCAGTCAACTTGACAATTCTTTCCGGAACGTTCCAAAGGCACTTGTGCGTCAGATCTCAGGCAGCGCCGTGAGGGCAACCCCTGAGTTCAAGGAGCAGTTTTGTCCCGAGGGAAAGGCACCATGTCAGCAACCTAAGCCACATTAAATCAGGGAGTCAGGAGACCTGGACTCTGTCTTCTACAAAGCCTCCGCTTGTCCATTGTACAGCAGTCCACTTTACCTTCCTGTGCAGATCAAAGGGGGTGGAAGCAACCCAGGGCTGGTGGGATTGCCTCTGTTGGCCTGGCCCTTGGAAGTTCAGTGCTACGTACTGGAGGGATGAGGCGAGGTGGGACAATGACATTGGGCCTGGAGGGAATTAAATACTGTTGGGTGGGGATACATCCCCATCGCCCAGAATCCTGCACCTCAGTGGGTTGTTATCTTGCCCTGCAATTTATTACTGCCATTTGTAGGGCTTAAGGAAGCCCCTAAGCCAGGTGAGTTGCTCCTTGCCAGCAACCAGTGTGACCATAGTATTCGTTTGATGGTGCAAGCTCACAGTGCGGTTAGGCTGAAAGCACCTCCCAAGCCTGCCTTGACTCTGCACCCCATCCTTAGCATCACCTCAGAACGAGAGGTCAGGTTTATGATAAAAGCAGCATCTCTGCGGAAAGGGGCTTGGGCTTGTTTCAAAGGGACCAGTAAAGACACCGGGCATCTTTTTGGGGAGAGGGGCTGGTGGTCGAACCCCAGGCCTCATGAACTGAATGGTACCCAAGGTGTGTTGTACCCAGAGCAACACACTCGATCAACCCATCGACCTTGATGTACCCATCAGTGAGAAAGCCGTCATTTCTGCGGCTACGACTCTTGGCTCTTCGCAGTTGGGGCGAAGGTGCCTGCCAGTGCTTGAGATTGAGGTGTTGGAGTCTTCTGAGGGTGATTTTCTTCTTCCAGCGAAGCATCTGTCTCAAACCTATTCCTATTCCCAGAGATGCCCACATTGGACTTTCAGCTCCATCACCTGTGTGCGTGAACAGTCCGTCCCAGCCCTTCTTGGATGTTACCTGTCTGGCTGGTGACTGGTAATTCCTATCTGCTCATTCCTTAGAGCAGACTTCCCTGTCCCCGCCCCTCAGTGACACTTACAGTGTGACAGCTTACATCTTGGGGACAGTGATCTGTGGTTCCTGGCAGTGTATTAAATGCCTAAGATTGGATCATTTGTTCGCCGTGGTGATGAATCTACAGACAGGTGAAATTTCAAAAAATCCCCAGGCCTTGTGCCCTTTGAACTAATAGTAGGAACAGTGTGCTGCCTTACCATCTGTCTAAGATCTGAGTGTTGTGCTCAGACCCCAGTGACGTTCTTGAGAACCCTGGTGGTGTCTTGGGTTAGCGTTGGACTGCTACCCACACATTCAGTTCAAAACCACCAACTGTTCAGTGGGAGAAGGACAGGCTTTTGATTCCCGCAGAGTTCCAATCTCAGAAACCCCCAGTTCTACCCTGCCCTGTATGGTCACTGTGAGCCAGTCCACTCTATGGCAGTGAGCTTGAGTTTTGGAGTTAACGTTCTTACCCAGAACAGAGGACTAGAAAATTCAGTGTTTGTATAATTGAGATTGTTTGATGCATGAAATCCAAGATAACCCTTCAGAAAGAGTAATAATGGGAGTAATGATCCACTGAGGGTACAGGAAGAGGGGTGGGGGGTGACTGGATAGCAATGATGACTGTATAGCCCCACTCAAGAGGAATGAATAACAGAATTGTAGGTGAATGGTTACATTGGATGGTGTAAGATATGGCAAAAACAATAATAATGATAATATATATAATGGTTCCTAGGGGTAGGATGGGGTAGGGAGGGACTGAAGGAGAGCTGATATCAAAGAGTTCAAGAAGACAATGTTTTGAAAATAACGGCAGCAATTGTACGACACTGCTTGATCTAATTGAATTATGGGTTGTTATATCTGTAAGAGTTCCCAATAAAACAATCTGAAAAAGAAAGAAAATGCACACTGATCGAGATTGGAGAAACAACTCCCACGCAGGCCACAGTTGAGCACCCTCTGAGGAAGAAGTCTTTATTGGGGTGAATACACAGCTGCACAACACTGTGACCGGTGGACACAATGCTCAGGCCCGTCTTCAGCAGCTGCCCGGGAAGCAAGTCCGAGATGGAGCGGAAGCAGAGCCATGGAATGCAGGCCTGCAAGTCTGACTTCCCCAAGTCAGGAAACCACAGGGCCAAATGGGCAGCCAGTCCCAAAGGGCCTGGGCCCAGGGTAAACACGACAAGGGGCCAACCAACAACTAAGCTGCAGGTTCAGAATAAATGTGATGGTGCCCACGTATACTGGCCTCGGGACAGACAGGGGATTTTGGTCAGCCCGTCAAGAAAAGAAGGCAGACGGTTGTACAGAATTTAAAAGCACAGTCCTTTGTGGCTGGGGACGTTTTTACCGGCAGCGCTGTCAAGCACAGATGAGCGTGGGAACAGGAGCCCCCATCTCTTCTCGTCAACAGAAGCAACTGACAGACGGCACATGGATGCGTGATGGGGAGGAGGGAGCTGTGACTGGGGCTTTAGTGCCACCCGTGGGCCACAGGGAGGGACAGGGCCCTGAGTGCTGTGTGATACTTATTTATAGGAGGGTTAGACAAAATAGTTAACTACTAAAGGTATCCAAAAAAGGCCTGAGAAAAATCTGGTTAAAACGTATAACCTTGTATTGCTACTGATGCATGGAGGCATTTTCATCTCGTCTAAAAATAATAAAAAGATTCTGTTAAAAAATAGATTTGTCAGAAAGATGTTGCTCTGAACTGTAAAAGCATATGGACTCTTGGTTCCCCTTCAATCTGGAGCTCCCTTTCTACCGCCCCGCCCAGCCCCTCCTTGCCAGAGAGGCCAGCGGGCGTGGGGCTGCTCGGGCCTCTGCAGGGAAGCCCTGCACCTGGCTTGGGTCAATTCTGTTCCAGGTTTGGGCTCACTGTCAACAGTTTCCGTCTGGGGCCCTCCCCCCGGCCGCAGCTGCTCCTGTGATTTCCCACAGGGGGCTGCGCTCCACTCACTCCCCTCAGATCCCGGGTCAGTGGGGTGAGGTGGCTCCAGACAGTAATTTTTAAGGCTAAGGTAACATCCACGGCCATCTGTGTCTCCGGCCAGCCGTCCTCTAACTCTGGCTGGGCGGGGGTCGGGTGGGAGGAGGAGGGACAAGGGACAGTGTTCTCGGGACCCTGGAGACAGGTGGACAGACAAGAGCAGCACGGATGGCCCGTGTCTTTGGTGATGTAGAGCAGTCTCAAGTCTCAGCCCGCGCGCCTCCAAGGCTCTCAGAGACGAGCACCTGGGCTGTTAGGTTACCGCTCCTTGTTAAAAATCCATCTACAAACCTGCCAGGATGGGGGTTCTTTGTTTTTCTGTCTAAAGCTGGTAGTAAAAAGGTGACCTGCAAGCCAATACAGTTAATGGCGGTGACGGGGTTCTCCCTCCGGGGAGAGTCATAGTCGGCCTGAAGGCCTAGGCCTTGGGCTCGGCAGAGGGAACGGGCAGCCGCCTCCCGCTCCGCAGATGGCACCCAAAGGCTGGCTGCTCGGCCCTGACGTGCTGCCTCCACAGTGCTGGTGGCAGCAGGCCTGCTGGGCAGGCGGGGCTGGGAGGTCTACTTCTCCGTGAGCGACAGCCGTAAGACCTGCTGCAGCTCTGCCTCTTCCTCCTGCAGCCGCAGCTCCCGCTCCTCCAGCTCTCTGGCCGAGAGCTCCATGGCCAGCTGCAAGTCGCTGTCGAAGCGGCTGGGCTCCCGCGGGGCGGCGGGGCACAGGCCTCCAGAGCTGGCCAGCAGGCTCTCCTGGATGGCCCTGGGTGGGAGAACGGGGAGAAAGAATTCAGCAGCAAGGCAGTCGTCCCCGCGGCATTTGTTAACCAAGACCATAGACAGAGTGCCCCTTAATCCTACAGAATTCTGGGGGTGCTCGTGCCCTCTGCAGAGCACCCAGCTTTTAAATGCCGAGGCTGGGAAATGCATCTGAGCAACTGCAAAGCCAAGCCCAGGCTCCCAGTAGACTTGGTAACGTGAGTCTTCCTAGTTCTCTCTCCTAAGAAGAAGAAAATAAAATTCTCCTTCCGGTAGCTCTTCTCTCCCTTTAAAGTGTAGCAACTTCCCTGCCCCCTTCACAGAAAGTCTGACCCATCAAAAATGGAATGCCAGTGCCCTCCCTTGGCAACCTGAGGGCAGGTCTGCAGAGAAAGGCAAATGCCGTCTCGCTGCTTCTGACGAGGTGCGTGCGTGCCAGAGTAGAACTGTGCACCACGGTGTCAGAAGCCGGTCACCAGGCATTTCTTCCGAGGGCCTTTGGGTGCCTGTCAGCTGCCTGCCTGTAGGGCACAGTGAGTGCGGGCAGAATCAGCAGTTGTGCCACCTGGTCCTGGAAACCCCATCGAGAACTGTAATGCGGAGGGCAGCCACAAGGGGAAGCAGAGAGCTACATTTCAGCCAGCCTAGTCCCTCCAGCAGGGCAGCAAGCGCCTGCCTCAACCTCCACTGAGCAGTGAGGAGTCAAGCTGGTCACCTCTCATACTGGGCATCGTAGGCCTGTGTCCGGCTGATCCCGCCATTGGAAGCTGGTCCTGAGACTTCCTAGAAAAAGCAAACATGATGGGTGTCGTAAGACCCCTTTGCAGAAAGCCCAGGTGTTACGCTGAGAATCAATGCAAGAGGGACACAATAACCACCACCTGCAGGCATATCCGTTACTGACAGACTGGCGGGAATGGCTGATGGGAATCTGGATTGCCCCTCTAGTTAAAAAATACTGTGCAGTCTAATCAGATCCAACTCAACACAAGCTGTGTGGTCAGGGCAGAGTGGGCTCCCCAGGGACCCCAACCGCTGCCTTTCATCTGAGGCCCCTCTGGCCACACGCCACTCCTGCTCCTTGGTTGTGGCGGAGTGAGCGTGTGAGCCAGCTGCACTCACACCCAGGGCTGCCTCCCTCTCTAAAGCCACACCGATGGGTGGGGTGGTATGCTACCCTGACAGCAGCCATGGCCTTTTAACAGACCCCAGACCAGTCCCTTAAAAACGGATACCTCGTGGGGGTGGGGGGAAAATGAGGAGCTGATACCAAAGGCTCAAGTAGAAAGCAAATGTTTTGAGAATGATGAGGGCAACAAATGTACATTTGATGAGAGAAACCAGTGTTTTCCAACGTGGGCGACGGCGCCCCCTGGAGGACGCTAGAATGATAGGTGGGGGGGGGGCACTGCAAAAGCAATACCTACACTTTTTCCTGGATTCTGAGTTATCGGACAAAAATTTTTAATTGCCAAGGGGGACATCGAGTTAAATTTTCTTCTGAAAATGGGGCAGTAGGCCAAATAAACTTGGCAACCTTTGCTCTAAAGGAATAGGAGGTTAGAAAACCGCAGACGCCCCAGTTATCAGCTGCACAGGTGCAGGTGAGGAGAGCGGCGCTGGAGGGTTGCTCACACGTTGCTCCCTCCGGCTGCTGGGGGCCTTCACAGTACCTGGCTCCTGCTGGACTCCAGTAAGCTCTGCTGGATGGCGAACTGCATGATCTCGTAATCCTCGTCTTGCACATGGACGTTCCTGCCGTTGTCTTGAATGTGGTATGATTCGGGAATTTCAAACACAGACTGGTCAACCTCAAAGCCCGAGGAGACGGGGGAGTCTGAAACAACGAGCATGCACGGCAATCAAGTATCTCCTCCCAACTTATTGTGAACCCCTTGTTTCTCACGGACAGGTCAAAGTGGTGCCAACCACGATGTGCTACAGGTGAAGGGTTTTAAGGGAGGATCTTCTAAAGGGGGTGGGGGGAATGTAGGCTTTGTCTTTCCACCTTCTTTTCCTAATGATGAAGTCAGTGCATGAAGGACAAGGGAAAAGTTCCCCCTTACCAAACCCTGTGGCAATCACCACTCTTCTTGCGACTCTCCAGAGGAGTGTGGCGTGGCCATGCACGTGTGGTTGAGACACATGCCTCTGCCCTTAGCTGCGTCTTATGAAATGCAGCACACACAAAAGGTACCACGTGTCTGTCCACTTCAAATGAAAGCAGTGAGAATAAGAGACGCCTGTGACTGAAGTGAACACACACCCACCATCCCCAAGCCCCAGCGGTGCGCCTCCCTCCTCCCACGGGTAGACTGGTCAGAATGGCAGGGAGTGCTGCCCAGCTGTGCCACGCCATTGGGACCTGTGTGAACAGTCTTCATCACTTGTTAGCACAATTTTGAACTTGACCTTGCCAATGGAACCATAGGGAATATGAGGGGGTACCCCCAAAACACAGAAAAAAGCTCCGCTGGGTGAGCATGGAGCATCTCGCTCTGAGTGAGTGCACCCAGTGGCATTGCCTGGGAAGGTTCTCTCTGGTCACAGTGAATTTTTTCATAAAAGCAGTTGCACTCAAACCTCGTTTTTTTGTGATGGCCGATTTAAGAGAATAGCATTGCAGCTGTGAAATTTTGTTTCCTGCTTGGGAAAAATGACCCAGAAACTATTGTAATGTTGAATACAGCTTATGAGGACAGCGCGATGGGAAAAACTCAAGTGTATACGTGGTTTTCTCCTTTTAAAAAAGGTGAAATGTCGACTGATGACAAACCTCGTTCTGGATGTCCATCAACTTCCCTAACGGACAAAAATGTTGACTAAGTGGTGCATTTGGAGTTTGTTCCATCAGGTCAGACTAAGTGGTGCATTTGGAGTTTGTTCCATCAGGTCAGACTTAATCAAGCTTTCTATTTAGAGGTTCTGAAAAGATTACGGAACAGTGTGTGACATAAAAGGCCTGGTATGTGGCAGACAGGGGACTGGTTTTGCCTCCACGGCAATGCACCTGCTCGTGCAGCCCTCTCAGTGCGCCAGTTTTGGGCAAACAAAACAGCATGCCTCTCTTGCCTCACGCACCTTACTCACCAGACCTCGCTCTGTGTGACTTTTTGTGTCCGAGAATGAAGAGGGACATGAAAGGTCAGCAATTTGGTGATGTAGAAGAGGTGAAGAAAAAAAACGAGGGAGGTGCTGTCAGCCATCCAAACAGATGAATTTGAAAAATGTTTCCAAGAATGGAATCTCAGATTTGACAAATGTATTAAGTGTAATGGAGAGTACTTTGAAGGTGATAAGGTTGTTTTATACTAACATTTAAATACATAGCTTTGGGGAGGGGAATTCCATTTTTGGGGGGAGAGGGGTACCCCTCATATAGTCTTCAAAGTGGTGTTTTTCATTCAGCGCTTTCTGAGGCCACCAGATGCGGCATCCACATCCCATCTTCCCTGCTGCCTGACCCCAATGTCGGCACATCCTGTGATCTCCTGGCACTGGGTCTCCAGTCTCGGCCACGAGCACTGCTGTGTCCATTACTGGGCTCTCCGCATGCCCACGGGGTCAATATGGTGTCCAAAGTCAATACCCCGTCATGATGCAAACTCTCAGGCTAGAAGGGAAAGTGCTCAACCTGACAAACCTCCAGTTAACCTTACACCAACGGTGCAGTCTTGAACCTTTCTGCCCCAGGACGTCCCTCCCGCCACCTCTATTTAACTTTGGGCTAGCCAGCACAATATGGCAAGGAAGAGATCTAGGGTTATAGATTAGAAAAGAATAAAGCTGCCTTTATTCAGAAAGGGCATGGTTATGTATGTAAGAAATCTATGCCAGCAGGGGCAACGGACTGTGATGATGTAGATACAACTTTTTAAAAAACAATTTAACTATGGAAGTTATGAGATGTGACTATTATATCAACTCCTAAAAAAACCTATTAAAAAGTTACTAGAAGTTATAAGCCATTTAGCAGTGTGGCAGGACACAAAGTCAGAATCAATTACGTTCCCTGTGTGAGCAGTGATGATCAGAAAGTAAAATGAAGAAACTATTTCCACTGAAAACTGAATTGGACGGACTGCTAAGGAGCAGGAGGGAATCACCTGGCCGGCTAGAAATACTGACTATTTTGATTGTGGAGGTAGATCACGAACATGCACTCAACGGTCACACTTACCGTGGATGCTGCTGACATTTTTGCTAAAAGGCTGTGGAGAAAGCCCACTGTCTGCTCACCCCATTTCTCCATGGGCGTTGGGAAGCTCCCTCCCACATATGCACGTGACAGCTGAGGAAATTTCTTTTTCAGGGCTATGCTTTCTACCACTGTCTATTTGGTGTGTTTTCTCACAAATCGATGTAAACGTGAACGTTAACACACAACTCTGCTTCCTCCGACGCTCTGGTTCGGAGCTGCGTCCTGAATGCAAAGACTCAGGGAGGGCTGAAGGCTCCGCAGAAAGCCCCGCTGGAGTCCGTGTACCTGAGTTGGCTGGGGCCCCGTCGACACCTGGGGAGGCAGCTTCTTCTGAGGTACTGCAGCCGTTCACATTTCCAAATGTAATCCGCGCATTCAAGACGTGAAACAAGGGGATTTCTAACAAGAGAAAAGTCCCCGTCAGTACGCCTCACCCAGGAGAGCAGCCACAGCTGTCACCCCCCTGCTCACTCTGTGAGGACAGTGCCCGGTGCTTTGTGGAAGGACGGCGCAGTCTCATCCCCATGGCAACCACCCCCAGTTGGCAGGCAGGAAAGTGAGCTGCAGAGGTTCTGCACTCTTCCCCAGACGACAGAGGGTCAGTGACGAGCCAGGGCTCACGTGTAAGGGGTCCCCAGCCGCCCCGAAGTCCTCCCCAGCCCTGTCTATGACCCACGGGATCGATTGTGCACAGACCCAGGCCCCAGAACGCAGCTAGGCAGCACAGGATCTGGCTGCCCACAATCTTCCCCCACAGCAGCATCTAGTTTGGAGTTTGACCTTACACTCTGAGCATGTCACGCCTTTTGGTATCAGTGGGGTCTCCTAACTGTGGTACACAAATCTCCAGTCTGAACCATGAACCAGGACATGGCTCTGTAGCTGATGGGGGACAGTTCTGGCCGCCTTCACCTCCTCCTCTTTCCCTCCCTCCTTTTCCCCCTCCGAGTGTACGATTCTGCCCCTCACTACGTCAGTCCCCTGGCCATGGTGTCCACCCGATTGTGGGCCGGCCTGCACATGTGGCTGTGGGTGCCCTCGGCGCACCTATCTTGACGGGGAAGCCGGGTGGGAACTCCAGCTTGATGAAGTCTCTGAGCCGTGCGAAGTGCGCGCTGGTCCTGGCCATGAGGTCGATGATGGGGGTCACCTGCTCCACGAGGGACAGGGGGAACTCCTCACACATCCACAGCATAGCTTTGAACCTGTGGGGGAAGGGGGACAGCCGCCACGTGCTGGAGCCCTGCTGGCACTCGGCTGGGCAATGGCTGCTTGCAGAGCCAGCGGCTCGGGGGAAGAAAGAGTGGGGGAAGCCTGGGGCAGTTCTACTCGGTCACAGGAGGTCAGTGTGAGCCGGAACTGACTCCCAGCAGCCGGCAAGTCACTGATAGCTCCCCGGCTCCACAATCTGCCCAGAGGGGACAAGAAGCTTCAGGTCATTCTGAAATCGGACCATGAGCAAACAGGGCCTGGTGATGAGCACCTGCTGCCACAGACAGAGGGAACCGGCTGGCCAGTGGGGAGCATCTCACGTCATCAGCGCAAGCTTGTGGGAGGAGAGGAGGGAGAAATCCTTACCTCCCAACAATGCTCTGTTTGGAAAGGGCTCTCCAGGAAGAGCAATCTGATCACGTTCTTCAAGGCCCAAAGCAAACTCGCTGCCATCCAGTCAATGCCGACTCAGCCACCCCGCAAGACAGGGTAGAACTGCCCCTAGGGGTTTCTGAGACAGCCACTGGTTGGGGGTGGGACTGGGGTGGAAAGCCACACCTTTATCCCGCAGAGCAGCTATGGTTTCAAACTGCCGACCTTGTGGTGAGCAGCCAAATATAACCACTAGACCAGGGCTCCTCCAGAGACAGAGGATTTAAAAACTGTTTTCAAAGGGAGGGGGCAGGAATGACTGAGCATGGCAACTCCCCAGCATGGCTCTGCCTACGGAGCCTCTTACTTCTGTGTTCGAATCGTCAGCTCCTTCGGTCTCCCAATGTCTCTGTCTTTCAGATCAAAGTCTTCATTGAAGTACTCCTCGGGCGTGATGGCTGTGGGGTTGTTTGCGGTGGTGCATTCTGTGGTGAGGTCCTGCCAAGCCAAAACCCAGGGCAGTTAGGAACACCAGGGTGTGCCCCCACATGGAGGCCCACCCCGGGGTGCAGTCTCTGCGGCGGACTCGGGAACCAGCCACAGGCCTGGAGGTTCTCGTCTTTAAGTCACTACACGGAGCAAGGAAACCCGCCAAGGGGTAACCGAATTCCACGGCGAGTCTAACGGAGGGCGTCTCCGTTTTAAAATTAGGACCTCCGTATTTCTTCCCTCTCCTGTGCATTTTCCTGTCCTGATGATAGGAAAGGAGAGTGGGGAAGAAGAAAGGAGGTGCATGGCACTCGGGGGCGGACGTTCCAGCCTGGTCACTCTCAGGCCTGTGGCGCTGGAATGGCAGTTTCCTTTTGTGGACGCTTGGGGACTTCGGTGTGTGCCAATTTCATGTGGCTAGGGTGACTTGTCAAGGTGACTTTTACAAGGCATGTAAAAGACGGAGTCCCACGTCCTTTGCCATCCTGGAGATGGGCTTCTGAAAACTCTCACCCCAACCCCAAGTCCCACTGCCATCGAGTCGATTCCGACTCACCGACCCTATCGGGGTTCCTCAGCTGTGAGTCAGGGGCAGGGAACCTTCTTTCTGGCAAGGGTCAGTTGGATATTTACGACACCATTCAAAGGCCATCCTGGTCACCCGAGTATTGAACTCGCTCCTGATGCAACGGCTGGAAGCGCTTCTCTTGGGCGAGGCCTGCGATGGGAGCTGGTGTTGATTTCTTAGGCCTCGTCCAGTCCCACAGCCAGATGTCCCCTGCCCCCGCTTTACAGGGTTTCTGAGGCTGTCAGTCATGAGAGGAGTAGACAGATTCATCTTTCTCTCGTGGGTGGCTGGCGGGCTTGAACCCCAAAGCACCACCTGGGCTCCTTGGCACAGAGGCATTCCCGTGTGCCACAGGGGGCGCCCCGAGTCTGCGTCAGCCCCTTGCAACCACCAGGGACCAGAGCCTTCGCACATGCCCGTGTGACAGAGAAGTCCCCACCCTCCTCCACCAGCTTCCGCTCTACAGACTCCTCTCCTTCTCTTCCAGGAGTCCAGCTTGGCCTGACTCTCCTGACCCTCCTCACGTCCATGCCACCAGCACGAGCCCCTCTCCATCCCGTGACCCCAAGGGCCCACCGCTTCAACTTACCCCCTGGGCGCCAAACTGGTGCTCCACAGTCCCCAGCAGAGATTCCAGCGGATTCCTGTCAGCTGGGGGTCGAGGGAGGGGAGTGTTAATTCCTCACAGTGGGCACACACAGGAAGATCCCCTCAGGATGCCTTAGGGTTCTAGATCCCCATCGTCGGTGTGAGGCAGTGCTGAAGGGAAGCCCCAAGCTAGCCAACAGGCTGAACATGGTCACCCTGATGATCAGACGCTCCCTGATCCTGCCAAGGACACTGGGTAGTGGGGGTTCTCAATGGGAGGGACAACGGCAAGCTGGACAGAGGGGAGTGTGGACTCAGGAGGGCGAAACGTCTGACCCCAAGCCCGCCCTGGTCACCACTCCCGTGTTTCTCTGGGCCTCGGTTTCCTCAGCTGTCAAATGGGAGCCGTGGTTGTCAGCAGTGGCACGGAGCGGGTGGTAGCTAGCTACCCACCACAGCATGCTGGCGTGGCCCATGGGCGGTCACCCGTCCCGTCTGCCCAGCCACTCCAGCTCACCCGGAGGACTCAGACCGCAGGCGACTCCACAAGGTCACTGGCAGCCACAGCTGCCAGCGCTGCAGCTCTGAGTCCCAAGCTCTGCTTACATCTTCACTCGCTGCGTTGGTGAACCTTTCCATCCCCCTCGACTTCTCCTGGCTAAGCCCACTAACTGTCGTCCACGCAACACCAGTGGCTTTAATGACAACTGAAGCCACCTTCGGAGGAGGAGGAGCGGACAAAGGGCACTTCGGTCCCAAGAAGGCGGGGTGAGGGCGGGTCGGGGCTGCCCGACCACGTCTGCCCTGGCGAGGTCCCAGCAGGGGAGGTTACCTTTGTATCTCGTCTTCTCTTCCTCGGTCAGGTGTTCGGTCCGTATCTTAGTGATGACACTGACATTGTTTACGGTGTAAACCTTAAGAGACGTGCGCGGAAGGAGACAGTGACACAGGGGACCTAGACCCAACAACGCTAGCATCAAGCACAGGGCAAAAAGGCTGAAGCGAGACAAGTAACGCTGTCACCCGCCAGGTCAGAAGGAGGCCGGGCACAGCCATTAAGGGCCTTCAGGGCGAACAGGCAAACTACGGACTGAGCGCAGAGCAGCAGCAATGAGGCTGGTCTGGGAGCGGTGCGGCTGGAGGAGGGCGGCAGGCTGCCTCTTTCTGCAGGCCCGCCTCTCCCCAAGGCCCTGCGCTGGGTGCTGCCTGCCTCAAGAGCCCGAGCCTGCTCCTGGGAGGGGCTCCTCTGATCCTGACCGGGGCAGGAAGGAACACAAGGTTTGCCCCAAGGACAAGACTGAGAGAACCCAGCAAATCACTACGTAAAAGGCATTCTCCATCTTGACACCCCACCCCCCATCATAAATAAGTCCCCTCTACTGCTAACTCGGTCAGTGGCGGGGGTGGGGTGGGGGTGTGCTCATGAAGGTGGTAGCAGAAGCTCTGGGTGCCTAAGTGGGTCCCTGTACGGCCTGTGCTCGGGGCGGGTGCTTCTAGTGTCTTGCTGAGCGAGTGCTCGCTTCCTGAGCAAGGGCCGCCGCCCCCACTGCACTGCACTGCACTGCAGGCCAAAGAGGCCAGGGCACAGAGCTTTCCAGCTGACGAACGCCCCGTGGCTCAAAGGGCCGTCATGGGGCATTGGCAGCGGCTCCCCGGATGTCCTGTCACACAGGCTATAAGCCGACCAACCGGGCACAGGTAGGGACAAAAGCTGCTGGAGGAGTTTGACTTTGTTTCTTGTTTTTGGACAAATGTGTTCAATCATATCCCTTCTTTCTCTCCTCTTTTTTTAAAGAATGAAATAAGTGACGAGCTTGCCATTCCTCCCAGGACAGCTGGACCCCTACCCCCATTGCTCTCCCACGTGTTGACGGGAGGAGAAGCCTCCCCGTCAGGGCACTCAGCACCTTTCTGAGAGTGAAAGGAGGCGGAGGTCGGAGGGCAGAGCCCTGTTGGACCCTCTCGCCCCAGAGCATCTTCCTGGCACAGGGCACGGACACAGCGGAGCCGGGTCCTCGTTTGCATAGCAGCTAAACAGCTATAGTAAATCTTATTTTAAGAGTTCCTTTTACCTTTGCTTCGTAACCATTAACAACTTCTGCTTTATCTGTCCTCCAGCCCCAGAATCCGGATTTAGTTCTGATAAAAAGTGAACACCACAAATTTCCACATGTATATTATGCGATTCAGAGCGATCCCTGCAGCCCTCAGCGTCTCATTTTGCTCTCTCTCCCACCACTGCCCCCCCTTAGCCCCCCAGGTGAAGTCAATGAAGGACACTTGGAAACTACGGTCCTCAGGTCCACAAAGGGTGCCATCAATGATCTGTGGAGGGGGCTGGGGGGGAGGGGGCTCAGGCACCCCTTGCCCACCCTTCCCCACGCAGTCTATTGACCCGGGAGCCTCCACTCATAGCCTCTTTACAAAGCTGCCCATGTAGGGGGCAGAGGTGGTCACAGGAAATAGACAGCCACCCAAAAGAGGGAGCAAAGACAAGAGTGGCCAGGGGCTGGCCACAGGGTGACAACTGGTCAGAGCAATGAGCTGGGTCACCTCAGCTGTGACCACAGGTGTCGGTGGCCGGAGGCTTCTCAGTCAAGGAGAGCGTCTTCACTACAGAGACTCCTCTGAAGAGAGCAGTGGGGGCAGAACTCATTCTGGGGCTTCAGTGCCCTCGTGCCCGGCACCTGCCGTTCGCTGTTTGGGTGCTCACTCCGTGGTGGAACTGCGGCTCATGGGAGCCAGCAGCGGCCAGCCGGCGATTTTAACTCACACCCTCCTGAGAAACGCTTCCAACAGCAGCCCAAGGCTCTGGCGGTTGGTTTTCTGCAAGGCAGCTTCCAGGAGCCCTGGCCAGCCCCTTTGTCTAGGACATCACATCCTCGCTCCCTGCTCACCAGGTCTGCGGCTTGGGCCCAGCTGCCGGACGCGCCAAGGCGGGGCGGCGTGGCTGAGCTGCAGAGAGCAGGCTGGGTTTCCATCCGCCCATCACATGATGCGAAGGTCATGTCCAGGCTAGAGTTATAACCCCTTTCGTGACCCAAGGATGGTCTGCTTTGGGTTTCGTGTGAATGCTGTGGTGTTTTCAGGAGTGAAAGGTATGCCAAATCAAGGGGCGTGTCTGAGAGTTTGTTCCAGAGCTGGGACTTTGGATATGCATTCTGTGGGACACGTCTCCCTCTGGGCTCTGCACCCTCTTCTACATCCCTTGACAAGAGCATGCCATTCAGGGCACCTGGTGCTGTGTTTGTGTGCAAAGAGAGCCCCTGTGAGGAACCCCAGCTCTCAGGAATGCACCAAACACCCCAAACTGCAAGCACCCTGCCAGCCAGATTCGTAGCCACCCTACAGGACAGGGTAGAACTGCCCCTGTGGGTTTATGAGAGCATAACTCTTCGACAGGAGTAGAAAGCCTCATCTGTCTGTAAAGGAGTGGCTGGTGGTTTTGAACTGCTGACCTTGCAGTTAGCAGCCCAAAGGGTGACCACTATGCCACCAGGGCTCCTAAAAAATTCTGTAAACATACAAGCAAAGTGCTGTCTCCCAGTAAAAAAGCCAAGAGACCAAAGTTTGGCAGAATCACCCCTGCAGGATGCATCTCCTGTCAACGGGCCTTAGGGGCACAAACCAGTTCCTTCCATCCCTAGCGAGCGTGAACTGGCCCTCTCCTGATGGCTGCAGGCAAGGTCCGAGGGAGCGGCAGACCCCGATGGCTCACGTGCCTAGTGTGGTGGCAGGTGCTGTTGGGAGTCCCGCTAGTTCCAGGCAGCCCCGTCCAGACTTCCTCCCGGGGTGTCACAACTGCCGACCTTTCATCAACAGCCAAGGACTTCTATGCAGTTCCAGGGCTCCCTAACAGGTGTCTACAATTCATGCAATATAATCCCCGGAGGGGGATGGAAGACCCCTGAAGGGACTGCTCCAGATGCCGGCTACCCCACCCCCACCATTTCAGGGGAAGCTTGGCACAGCACACCTGACTGGCGGGTCAAGCAGAGTCACCTGAGTCACCCACAAGGGCACTACTCCTTTTAGCAAGCTGATTGCACCCCAACGCCTCATCTTTCATGCATTCCCAAAGAACGCCACGCCGCCCGGCCCTGCGCCATCCTCACCACGGTTCTTATGTCTGGGCCCACGGTTACCGCCCGTGTCCATCGGCTGGTCCTCAGTGGCAGACAGAACACACTCTTCCAGGGGAGACCTCTCCCACAGCGCAGCCAGCTGATGCAGGCCCAACTCACGGCAGGAGGGGTGGGCTTGCAAGCATCAAGCCCCCAACCACAGATTCTTCCTCCCGTGAAATGGGGGAAGAACTACCATGAGGTGAGCGAGGGCTGCGCCATCCACACTCCACCGCATGAAGCTGACACCTCCGCCAGCAAGCCGGTGCACACTTGGTGCCAGCAACCCTCCGGCCACGGGGGCCCAGTCCTTGCTCCATGCACAGGCATGACCACGAGGGCCCTCTTTCAGAAATTCTTATCCCTCCCCACCGTCCATTCAAAACCTCGTGACCACAGAAATGCACATAAGACGACCTTTGTCTCCAGCACAAATGGAATATGCTATCATGTCCCACCCGTCGCAGCCAGGAAGCAGCCTGGGGCTGGCACACTCGTGAGACACTACCTTGGGTGACAGCCCATGACTTGAAACAAGGGTTGGTGGGTCACAGGGAACGCTGGCTTTTCTCCTGACGTCCGTCGTAGCGTCACGGACTTCGAGAACAACTCGAGACCCACTCACAGCAGCCCTGCGTTGGGTTTCCTTTGTGGGAGCAGCCGGCCTCCTCTTCCACTGAGCACCTGGTGCGCTTAAACCACCCAGCTCGAAGTGGGCAGCCCCGTGCTGCCCGACACCCCTTTTCTCTTTCGCCGAGGGAGTGGAAACGGCGAGATGAAGCTACCTTCCCAGTTATTTCGTAGCCCCTCCACAGGCACCCCGTTCTTCTTAGGTTCATCTCTACTGGGCAGCGAGAGCCGCTTCCCTTGACCTCCAGCTTGACAAAGCCTCCCAGGCCTGCCCTGTCTTTGTAGGCTTTCGCAGAAGCGTGGGGATGCCACGCACACCTCTCTAGGGATAGCCAGGGCCAAGCCCCTAAGCCTCGCTGTCCTCAGACAAGAGCAGCGGACCAACCAGAGCCTGGTGGGAGGAGACCAGTGACGCGGAGGGCGCCCCTGTGACTGGGGAGATGTCACCGCTCTGACCAAAGCAGCAGCCGCTCGGGGACACAGGGTGGCGCTTTGTTTGGGGTTCTCCCCACCAGCTACCGACACCCGAACTCGACAGCTCACTCTGAACTAGAAGAAAAAGGGTCTTTTAGCAAGTCTGAGGTTGGACCAGGCAGAAAACTCCTAGTCGTATTCACTATTTTCCACTGGAAAGACGGATGAGAAGAACATTTTTAAAAAGAAACGACACACGGGGCATTGAGCGAGGGAAGAGTGAAGCCCAGAGGCAGGACAGTGCTGCCCGGTCGAGTACAGGCGGGCCACTCTGGCCGGCAGAGAGCTGGATGTGACATCCTAGGCAAAAGAAACCCTCGGGCCACCAGCTTGTCAGAAATTAGCCGCTGACCGCTCCACCTTCAGGAGGAGGCCCTCGGACCCTCCGTCTGACTGGCCCAGGCAGTGGACTCTCATCACAGACCTGTTCAGAGAATTCTTCCGGCACCTTCTGGAATACAGACTGACACACCCACCCCAGAAGCTTGCCAAACTAAACTAGTAGCCCCCCGGGAGAGAAAATGTGTAGGAAGCTTCTTTTTTCTTTTTTAAGGAATACGAGGGGGGCCTCAAAACGTTTGTGGGAAAATGGAAGGAAAGTATCCGGGAATCCCACACACACCCAGAACCTCAGATGACACAACCGCATTCTACCGGGGCCAGCTCTCCCTCCGAGACAGCGCCGTGGCTGTGACTACAGGGCGCTGCATCCGGGAATCCCACACACACCCAGAACCTCAGATGGACACACCGCATTCCACCGGGGTCAGTTCTACCTCCGAGACAGCGCCGTGGCTGTGACTACAGGGCGCTGCGGGCCGGGCATCAAGCCGAGAGGGCTGTGGACGCTCACAAGGCCGTTTCTCAAAGCGACCGACATGCCACCCCAAACGCTCTCCCGTGCAGCTGGCCAGCTGCGGTTTCTATGTGGGAAGGGGACAGGTCAGCTGTGAGCCCCACTAGTGCCCGTTACGCAGATACCCACGACGTCCAGTCATCACAGACTTGCCACCAAACGGGGCGTGCCGGGATGAGTCGGCAAGTACCTCTCAAAAGCAATGTTCTTGGTGTCCAGGCTGGTGTTGATGACGGGGCTCGTGAGCCGCCGCTCCACCTCCCTCCCTCTGGGCTTCATCATGTCCAGGCTGAGGCGCTCCATCTCCTGCGAGAGGTCGAAGTGCTCGGTGGTGACCACTTTGTCATCGTGGTTGACCTCCATCAGCTCCGCCCAGTTGTCTGCAGTGGAGACAAGGCACGATGAGTGCAGACAGGGAAGACGCACACAGCCACAGCACCCGCACTGGCGAGCATCATCGTCTTCCGGGGGAGGCCCCCGGGCCGCGCTGTCCTGGGCCCTGCAGCGCTCAGGCAGGGGTGATTGGGCCCGCTTTCTCCAAGATGGGAAGCACCCCAGGTAGATGTAAAGGCCACTTGCATTCTCTCCTGGCAGCCCCTTCCACCTGTCTCTTGTAAACGTAGGTGATAGAGATGACGTATGTACAATACTGAGTGCGCAGGGCCGTCTCGCGCACAATTAGGAGGGCCACTGCCTGCTATGGAGAGACGTGGGGAAGATTCGGGACAGCCTTGTCCTCAAAGCTGGAGCAAGCGACACCAGCACATGTCCAAAGGGAACAGGGGTGGGGGTGGGGGGACATGGTATGTGCACAGGGCGGCCCAGCCACCAGAAGACACCGCCCTTAGAGGAATTCCAGCGACAAGGACAAAACCACGCCTCCCCAGGGCTGGAGAAGGCAAATGAGTCTGAGTATTTAGATGGTTAACAAAACGAAACTGAATGACGCCGAGAGCGGGGCGCACTCACCTTCTCCCTTAAATATGAAGCTCCTCCGCCCCCGGACCCAGCTCCTGTTCTCAAAGCCCAATAACGTGATATCCACGCGCAGCTTGGCGCCGCTTTTCCAGATGCGGCAGACATCATTCGGGCAGATTCTGGAAACCAAGGGCACTGGAGGAGAGAGCGGACAGCTGAGGACTCTGCGGGTGGGGTTGGGGGAATGGCCACCCCCCAAGACCACTAGGGGGTGGCACTCCCACACGCGTGACACCGAACATTGGGCCTTCTGCTCTGGAGCTCTTTCTAAAAGGGCAGAGCTGTGTTTTGCCCAGAGAAAACGCTTAAACCAGTGTCCCAAGAGGACTCTCAACGCTGTCCTGAAACCCACTTCCAGACCTCCCACTAGGGCTCCAGGGGACAGGCCCATCTGGCCCTGCTGAGGCCCGTATGCCACTGAGACCAGATGGCTAGGGCCCCAGCAGCTTGTCCTCTCCAGCAGTCGAGCTATCCAGTGTCTACTCTGTGCTGCTTGGCGGAACCTGGAATCAGAGTGCTCGTCTGCACTGGAAAAGAACCCACGAATTTCACAGGAGACTCGCCAGTTCTCATCTCTCATTGACTTTTTACTTCATGTCAAGGTTCCACTGTGAATCAGGCTTCTGGCCTGAAGGACAAGCCTGAGCACCTGGGAGCGCATGTTACCTGGCCTGCGGGACAGGGAAGTAAAATTGCTCCAAAACGACCCTGTCAGCCAACTTGCCTTATATGGACAATTTTAGAGAAAGGCCTTATTTCGTGAAAAGCATGCGACTTCACTAACCACCTCATTTTCTTTCTTAGGGCAGCAAGCTGAAAACAATCGAGGGGAACAACATTAAAAATAAAATCTACACCACGGTGCACTGCCTATTAAAATTTAAATAGCATTTACAGTGTTAAAAAAGCGACAGTATGGGCAGCTGTCCCCTCTGAGGGACAAAGGAGGAGCCAGATGTGTCTGCACGTTGTATGTGCAGATGCTCAGGGGTGAGTCTTGGGCACTTAGGGGGAAAGATGACAAAGAACATGGTAGATGCGCTGAAGGGGGGCATGGAGTGATTTCCCCAGCCCCCTCGACTTCTGACCAAGACAAGTTACTTTCATAAAGACAAAAACCAACCAACACACTTGGAAACGAGTCCACGCTGAGCCCCAGCCACTTACCCCAGCTAGTGAATTCCCATTTCATCTGCACGTAGAAATCAGGAGCCTGGAGGGCAGACCAAAGTTCAAAATAAGTTCCCCGTGGCATCATTCACTGAGCACACGTCAGCGAGGGTTAAAGGAGAAATCAAGCAGGAGAGCAGGAGACAAGAGTACGAAAAGCTCCGTTTAGGGGGCTGCTGGCGAGGAGTTCAGGAAGGAAAAGAATGTTTAGAAACTGATGGTGGTCGCAATTGCACAATGCTGCTCGATGGGACTGAGCTGTGGGGTGAGACACTGTCTTAGCGCCCAATAAACTGGATTGGGGAACCAAAAAACCTTATCTTTTATCTTCAGGCGGGGCTTTTGCCTTGACATAAAACATGTCGAGACAGATGGCCAAAGTTAACTGACAGCGACAGGACTGAAGGGGGTCCCACTGAAGCCTGTCTGGGGGCTCCCTCAGGCTCCAAACAGGAGAGAGCGAGGAGGGGGTGCCGAAGTACAACTATGACCTCTGCCCACCCCCGGAGCAGACCAGGCACCAGTCTCTTCCGGGCAGAAGAAGGGAAAGTCATCCCTCTGGCTGCGGGAAACTTGGCTGTACTGATGTACAGGCTTTGTGTTCTGGAAAGAGGCCGGAGGTTTCGCTTCCCCAGGAAGTGGCTCTGCCCTCTAGGCAAGACTGCCCCAGTCTTCAACTGCCACAGCACGGCTCCCACAGGGCCTGGCGCCACCCTGGCCGCCCTCTGAGAGTGGTTTTCTTAGCGACCATGGATTTTTTTTTTTTTTTGCTTTTGATGTGACATGCATGGCTTTCTTTTGATTATTATTATTTTTAATTAAATACTATTTTTATGGACATATCTTACTCATTCCAATGATCCCTTCCCTTCCCGTGCAGTTCTGTCGCTCCATCCCTCCGGGTGGGCTCGTGCAATCATCAATGCCATGAACTCTTAACGACCATGGATGCTTTTGGAAGGCTCTTGGCAGTGCTACTTTTAAAAAGCCAATGGTTCCCTTCTAACTGTCTTTCTGGTAACCTCGCCCTCCCCAGGGTGGGCCATGGTTTCGTTGGTTTTTAGCCAAAACATGGGGTCAAGGGTCTACCCCGGAGTAAAACCTGGCAGGAGGCCAGTGGTGGGCAAAAATGATCTCCAAGGAGTGGTCCGTCAGACCGGCTGGCATCGTTCACGAGGACAATGCCCCAAAGCAAAAACCTCAACCACGACCTCTAGTGCCCCACTGCAAAGGTCCTGTCTGAGCTGCCTATACTCCTTAGCAGGGGCACCAATCAGTGCAATCCATTGGTAATGCATCAACTCGGCGAGAAGAGAAAATTCCTGGCCCTGGATTTTTTTCCAAGGAAGACTGACGCTTCCTGAAGTGGTTTTCTACCAATGGGACAGAGATGCTTGTGGTTCTGGCAGTAGTAAGCAGATTAAGGAGCGCTAAACCCATGAGATCTTTGCGTCCTCACGAGCCCTTTTAAAAAACACCCCCCACAACTATTTCAGATGTCATGGGAGATTTCCTTGTAGTACCACGGGGCTTCACTATCTTAGGAAAGCTTTAAGCATCCGCACCCATCGGAATATTGTTTTGTTGTGTAAGTGCTCAAGTAATGAGTCCGAAATAACAGCAAAGGGTTTCCTTTTGTCTAGCGAGCCATAAGTTGCCTTCTTTCTCAAGAAACAGGTTCTAGGCAATTTATCAAACAGTTGGTGCAAACTTTGGGGAGCTCACTTCTGTGCTTACATTGAGAAGGAAGGGGCAGGAAAACGAAATTCCTGGGACCTGCTAGTTTCCCACTGCCCTGGGAAGACTGCCCATGGTTGACCGAGAAGATGGTTCTCTCGGGTCAGGGAAACAAGAAAGAGGTAAGACCTCCAGAATGGCCATCCTCATCCAAAACCCATCGATGAGCCTAGAAGTCCATCTTAAAAAGATAAGCTGCTGAGGGGCACGGAGCGAGCCCAGCCATCTCACCCCCACAAGCCAGAGGAGCGGCCCCAGTGCCCACACGGATGGCCGAAAGTAGCAGCCGGCAAAGATGCACACGAACCTCTGAGCCCCAGAAAACCCTGCACAGTGACTGAAGCTCGCGACCCCCTCTTCCCCAGATGGCCCATGCTCAGAGTGCTCCTTAAGAAAATCCAAGGCCGGGCGGATGCATCGTGTTCAATGTCCACTTAAGTTAAAAAGGGTGACCCCACTCACCGGGGCACAGAATGTACGAATACTCTCCTACATGCAACGGGTGGTCAAGGCAAGGAAGAATGCGAGTGGTTCCCTTTCCTAACGCACTTTGGGAAGTCACACAGGAAGTGCCAAGCCGCCCGTAGCTACTGCACCCGCTGCCACTGACATCGTGGCCCGGCCGGTTTCCCAGGTACCTCGAGGATCTTCTGGAGCAGCTCCGGAACCACTTCGAGGGCCATGGATGTGTTGTGGTAGTCCCTGTGCTGGAGAACTGTGAACACCATCTCCGGGTCACCGGTGCTCACGGCCTCGTGCAACACTGACGGACGAAGAGAAGAAACAGCACGTCAACGAGGAGCCTCGTGCTTTCTGACAAAGGACAAGGCCACTTTGAAAACTGCCCACAGAACTTGGACACCAACATTTTCCTTCAAAGAGGAAGAGAGGCAACAGTCAAGCGCTATCACTTTGACCGACCAGAACCTCACTCGCCACTTCCTAGCTGAGTGAGAAGGAAATGGAACGAGCACTGAGTCTCCCAATCAAAGTCCTTCCACGAGGGTTTTTCCATCTATTCAAACCCAGACCCCACTGATGTCAACCATCAGCCTGCGGTGGTTCCTGGGGGTGTTCTTGGTGTAGATCTTACGGCCTCGGCACATCAGGCTTTTCTTCCACAGGGCCACCCAACGCGTTCAGACCACCGACTGTAGGTGCCAGCCAGGGCCCTTTCTGACCTCGCCACCTGTTCTGGAACCTTGGCCACATGTCCAGAGCACTGCCTTTAACAAATGTGGTTGCAATGTAGACCTGGCAGTCTGCTGGGGCTTGTGCTTACCAACCCACGCACAATGGCACAAAACCCAAAGCCAAGGTTTTGCTAGACTAGGCGAGTTCTAGCCATAATTCCAGGTGTCCTGGTGATGTCATTGGACGACTAACTGCAAAATCAGAACTTTGGACATGCCGGTCGCTCCATTGGAGAAAGATGAGGCCGTCTGGTCCCAAAGAGATTGCCAGCCTCAGAATCCCTGGGGCCAGTACTGAGCTACCTTACAGGGTCACGAGGAGTTCGAATCAATTGGTGGCAATGGCTTTGGACTATATTTTTGATTGTGGATTCATTGGCGTTGCAGTCACATTCCCCACGGAAGACCAGCCTCTATTCCCACATACACTGGAAAGGGCTTACGCCAAGAGCTGCTTCCCAGGCTAGGAGTCACCTCCAACCAAGGGCTTTGGGCCCAAGATACCTCTCATTCCCCAGCCTCCTAGTTCCCAGAGAGGAAGACACTTACGATAAAGATGACTCCTCTGATGGAGCCGGCCCTTCCTGCCAAGAGAGCAGCTCAAAGGGAAGGCTAGACATTATTTTCCAGGTAAAGTACACTTGCCTGTCCATCCCTGGCTGTTTTCTTTGGTGACATCTGCTTTGTGTCGAAGCAGGACTCTAGCAGACTCTAGATGTCCCAGGGACACAGCGAGATGCAACAAGGTTCGACCTCTCGGGTCCCGAGCCTCCACGTTCTGTGAAAGGAAACGGGCACTTCGGTAGAAACGTGCTGGTGGACAGATGACGAGGATAAGTCAAAGGATCGCTACAGGGGCTCCGGCCCACACACGCTTGGGTTCGTCCCAGACGAAATGCGTGGAAACACATCTCTTCAATAAGTGGGCGGCTATAGACAGGTTCTCTCAGCCGTGCCCTTGCCCTGTGCTTGCTAGGGCACCTTACCAAAAAACAAAAGGTGCAGCCCTCCACCCCAGTCTTCTCCTCCCTGGGTCCTGCTCCCCCCGCTTTCTTCTTTCCCTTCCCCCTCCATCCCTTGTTGTCAAGCTTTCTTTCCCGTCTCCCTCACTACTCTCTTTCCCCGGTTCCCCTCTAGGGTTGGGATTTTCCTTGTATTGTTTCGCTTCCTGTGATTTTTATCTTTTGTGATTCTTTTCTCTTGCCATTGTTCACCCACATGCCCCTACTTATTCCCTTTCTTTATTCTTTTATCTGTGTGTGTGTGTCTGTCTGTCTGAGTGCCTACTTTTCTCCTCCCACCCAGCAGACAGCAAAACTGCCCACGTGACCCTGCTACATTGGTACTTCTACAGTGGGAGGGCCACCTGTTCCTCTGCCATCCTCTCAGGCAGGGAGGGCAGCCAACAGCAGCCAAACCCACGTACAGCTGCACATGGCGCCACCCACGTCGGGCGCAGAACTGTCCACGTGCTCCCACATGGCTCCCTCCTATCTACTAGGAGCCTGGTGGGGAACACCGATGGACAGCCATCAGGGAAAGGCACAATGTCGCTGAGACACCAGACCAGTTCAGTTCACACACACAGGAACAGTAGGCGATTCCTTGGGGGTGGGGGTGGGGTGGGGGCAGTGGCCTGCTTCCACTCTGCATGGATGCTCCGGCACGTCTCGCCTGCTCTTTCCTGGAGCTAGAGCCTGCATCGGGCCCATCACCCGATGTCTGATTCTTTGAGCTTGAGCCACTGAATGGCCTGCCATCTTGCCTGCCGGCTCGGATTCCATTGCCTCTGCAGCCAGCACTCATGCTGTCTGACCGAGGGGCTTGGAGCTTACAGTCTCTACAACCCTGTGTGCCATTTCACTGACGCAGCTCTCTCTGCAGATGTACGTCTGTGTCTATGTGGAATGTGGACGCACTCAGTCAGGGAGTTCATGAAGTTCATGGAAAAATGGAATTAGGAGATCATGGAACTCTTCCCCCAAAACCTTGAAGCTGCCCCCCATAAAAACATCATTGTTTTTTCTTTTCTCTAAAGAATTGGATTACAGTGAATTATGGTTCTTCTAGTCAAATGATTGGGTGGGAGCAAGCAATCAGGGTGTACAAGACTCTAACTCAATGGTTCTCAACCTTCCTAACGCCGTGACCCTTTCATACAGTTCCTCAGGTCGTGGTGATCCCCCAACCATAACATTATTTTTGTTGCTACTTCATCATTGTCATTTTGTTACTGTTATAATTCGGGCAACCCTTGTGAAAGGGTCGTTCGACCCCTAGGTTGAGAACCACTGCTCTAACTGGTCAGGTCGAGTCGTGAGTGTTTCTATCTCACTAGGTATAAAATGGGAGAATGCTAAGAGTCTACTCCTGTAAAGATTTCTAGTCTCGGAACCCCACAGGGGCACTTATGGCCTGCCCTATAAGGTGGCTATGACTCAGAGTCTAGTCGATGGCAGTAAGTCCTGAGGCATAAAAAGAGCCTTCTTGGAAACAGGAACAGAGGATCTCGGTACATGGAGAAAGAGGCACAAGCGGAGGGCGTCCTTCAGAGACCAAGGGCCCGAGCTGAAGCTCATCACCCAGGAGACGGAGGCGGAAGACTGCCAGCAGCAGCAGCAGAACCACATGCCCGACAGGGAGCTTCAGGCTTCCTGGCCCCTGGAGCGAGGCTTCCAACCCAGGAGCGAGAGCAAAGCACACCTTGGACCGAGGCTTCTGCGGGAGTGGTGTGTCTTCTGGGCAGTTATCAGCAGTGCTACAGGTTTTTGTCATACCTGCTGAGTGGGACAGCGGCCAAGGGGCTGTGTGGGTTGGGTGGCTGATGACCAGAGAGCCATGCTTTGGGGCACAAAGGAGAAAAGGCATTCCTGACTGGAAGAACTGTATCCTGCATAGTTCTGATCCGGAGGTGTAAATGAACTCCATCATCGTGAGTTCCGTGTGGCCCCTGGAACAGACTAGCATGCCCAGCAGAGGAGCGAGGGGCAGGCCGGGGTCAGAGATGGCTAAGGAGGTTGGGTGGTGGAGACACATGTGACCTCTGCCCCACAGAAATCAGCCTTGAGCTGACTGCCGATGGTGATTAGCCTCCTTCCCCTTGTGAGGTCAGAGAAGGTCAGGCACGACCCCACCCCAGTCTCACAGAACCGACTTGAGGCATGAGATGACTGGATCCACCCCCCCACATTCAGAGATCTGGGTTCACACTGAGCCCAGCCAAGTAGTTAGCAATGAAGGCGAGGTTTGCCCATAGTGCCCCTTGTCCAGCGCAGGGAGATACAAAAACAGATATCAAAGAGAAAATAAGATGAACACATCAATTACAGCAAATCAGTTTTTTTTTTTTTAAAAAAAGGCACACTTGCATGTGGGCTATAAATAAAGTTTCTGGTTATCAAGTTCCTTTTTCTACGAAGATAACTACCTAATGTGTAATCGTGAGCTACAGGCCTCAGATCGGATCACTAACATGCAGACTAAGCTCTCATTTCCATCTGAGCAAGGTTCTGAGGGTTCATGACATGCCTTTACCACCCAATAATGCACAGCCTGGGGGGTTCCCAACCACCAAACACTGATCAGCACGCAAGCGTTGAATGGGAAGTGTGGGACTTTACCCAAAACTGAAAGTACAGAAGAAAATTTAGGTCAGAGTAGAAATACATTTTCTAGCCAGATTCCCACCAAAGCACCCCTTCTCATGAAGGTGAATTGAGTCCCAGGTTCCCTGCAGCAATGCCTAAATCTCCCAGCATCTGAAGTCCTACGGACAGTGGGCATGACCTGCCAAACAGACTCTGTCTCTCTTATCAGGCAAGAGTAGACACACACTGTTGGCTTTTCTCTCTCCTTCCTCATCTGCTCAAGCTTGCCAGGGCCAACAGCAATCACTCTGGCTGTTGAGTTGGTTCTGAAGAGCTGGTTTAATTAGCTGAGTTTTGTGTTCAATGAATTATAGCTCAGTAAAGATGCAAAATAAGTCATGTGCAGGTTGGCGATGCAGTAAGTTACCTACACCCTACACGGCACCTCTAACCACAGCCTTTGTTGCTCGCGCCTGATGGGTGTGGGGAAAAAGGCCCAGGAAGATGCTGATTGGATTAAATCACTCAGCTGTTGAGTGCGGGGCCATCGGGCTGGGTGTACAATGAGCCCTCTCAGAAGCAGGAAGTGGAGATCTCACTACCAGCTAGAGAGAAGACCAGCAGGGGAGTGTGTCCTTTGGACCTCAGAGATACCTGCACATTGAATGTTCTTGACCCACAAGACAGTTTAGATGGCAGAGGAGCAGCAACAGCGAAACCAGAAGCCGGAACAGGAGACAGGGCAATGGACCTGCCAGCCCACAGAGCAAGTGAAACGGAGTGCTGCTCCCCTTTCAGACTAGCTCTGGGCCCTTTGGACTTCTTTTCCAAAGTATCGCCCCCTTCAATAAACCATTCTTTATGTTCAAACCTTAACAACAAAACATTTGTGGGAACAGGGTGCTTCTGGGTGCTCAGTAAAGGGAGTTGGATTTGCCAGTGCATAGAGTTGGAGCTGACTGCCTGGTGGAGTGGCATGCCCTCTGGGCATTTATTGGCAGCCCTACACGAGCTTTGTGACATTACCTGAGTGGGACGGGAGGGCAGACCAATCTGCTGAGGGCTAGAGAGGCCTCCCCCAGGCACAGCAGAGAAGAAACCAGGACTGAACTGTCACCTGAGCATTTCTCACCTGCACTGCAAGCTGTTAGCTTCTGTAATAAGCCCCGTAGTCCTAAGTATTGCCTGTGATTCCGCGTGGTCATTACAATGAACCACGGAACCCTATCATAGAAGTTGAGTGCCATGGGGAGGCACGGCTGGAGAACTGGTAGGGAAGGATGGAGGATGGAGGCATGTCTGACCTCTGCTTTGTGGAAAGCGGCCACGAGAGGAGGAAGAAGTCAGATGTAGCCCTTCTGCCATTTCCACAATATTTCTATGTGCTATAGAAAATGAATCTGTGATCTAGACGAGGGCCTTCAACGCATTTGTGGAATCATAGAACTGGAAGATGGCATTTTCCCATGGGCTTTTTGACCCCGGCAAGGGGGTTCCATTTTCTCCAGCTTCAGTTTGCTCGGGCATAAAACAGGAGCAATACAACCCGCCTGCCTTAAAGAGTGCTTTGACGAAGTACAGTGAACCAGGAGTCAAGCCCAGAGCACAGGGCCTGCCACATGGTAAGTGTGGCAGCGGAGAACAGTCAGCTCTTCTTATAAGACACGCGCAGGACAAGGTTGGATTTGCTCAAAGTTCACTGTGGTTGATAGGCTTCAGGGTCTTCAATGAATGGCATTAGGTCAGGGAGCACAAGTCTTTGGAGCCAGACTGGAATTCACTTTCAGAACCGAAGGTGCACGTCTCTTCGGCCATGGGTGGTTTCACTACAATAGTGTTCCAAAAGAAGAAAAGGGCTGTTTTTGCAAATCTCCTTCCCGTCCGGGATGTAACGTCCATCCACGCGTCTTGCTCGGTGCCCTCTTTACCATTCTGCCCACAGGAGGCAGCACAAGGATGAGCTAAAAAATGCAGCCCGAAGAGGCCAACAACTGGAGCCCCACTTCCAGCTTTTTCAGTGAAGCCCGGGGGCTGTAGTGGGGGTGCATTGGGCTGTTTGTTAACCACCAAGTCCAAGGTTCAAACCCAAACTGCTGGAGAAGGGAGCACAGATGAGGCTTTCTGCTCGAAGGGGTCAGGAGAAGTCATTCACTCGCTGAGTCAAAGAATCAGCTGAGTTTGAGTTTTGAGT